TAAATAAATATGTTTACAATTGCGCCTTAGGGGCTCCGTAATTATGGTCCACTTTGTGTTCCATAGAAATTTTCTGCTTACACGGAATCCGCTACTTGATCACGTGACTTCATTCGTTGGACTACATTCTAGCAGACGACACTTGGAATTCTGATTACGGCTAGGGATTATAAGGAAATTCAGCCGATAAAAAATGGTGACGTTTGGTAATAACTGAAATCCGCCATTTTGTATTTGTCAAAGTATACATTAATACATTCTACCTTGCTTGCAACTACTGGATTCATTCTACTAGCTGATATTGTACAGAAAACCCATGTTTATCAAAACAAACTAATGCGGAGGTCGCGCAAGGTCGCTCATTTAAATTATTAATCATTTCCGGAAATCCACGAATAATAGGTTTCCACGAAATTAGGTTACTCGACTGTATATTAAGGGCAATAACTCAAAAACCGTTCATCGAAAAATTGTGAATATCGCACTTGTCCAGGATCTCATCAATATAAATGATCACACCAAATTCGAGGGTGAACATGAAAAGCAGAGAGCTGAGCATTGCAAGCGGAATGCAGTCAATTACGCTACCAACCTTGAAAATAAATTTTTCCAAAAATAATCCCAATTGACACCAACAACTTTCATAATACCAGCATTTAAATATAAGTAGTCTACATGATTATACCTGTAATGACAAAAAGTAAGTTATTATATTCATGAAATAAAACAAATTGAAATTACAATTAACAGAGTTAAAATTGTCCAGTTCAAAATAGAATTATGTATCTACATGCTTATATTTCTATCAAAACAAAGCCAATTGTTTTAAAAATAATCTGTAAAATTTGATTTATCGATGAAAGTGAATCATTGTAACCTGGTCATAAACAACTTACTAGCAATTTAATCACTATGATTGGGACATAATTCACTCATTAAAACTATACTTTCAGTCTACTTACATTTGTTTAAGTTGTTTTGCAGCTTGGTAAACAGATTTGATATTAGAAGTATCCACCAACACTATTGATATGCTAGCTTTTGGATGCGACAACAGTAAGACATCTCTGGCTGCCTCTGCTCTTGGTTTACTACGACATGCTAAACAAAGTGTTAATTCAGGGTGCTCTGTTAATAGCCTCTGTGCAACTGTCAAACCAATACCTCTGCAAGATTGACAACAGATGAAAACGTACAAAGATCTGGCAATCTCTGTAGACGATTACTTGACTGTAAGACCTTGATAACGTTTATGATTGGTAGTCTGTAGCCATTCATGAAACAAAACCTGAGTTACCTCCCTTATATCATGATGAAAGCAGAAGCTTTTAAAAACAAAATCAGTATTTATAAGCACTAACCCCCACTAATTTGTAAAGTTACACTTACGCATTACCACCAGTTATAATTGCAACTTTTCCCCCAGTTGCCATTGATGTTTACTCAAATATTTTCTGATTTAGAGAGAATTTTTAACGTTCAAATCTTTCTCACAGTCTCGCTCGATTGTAAACAACATCCGATTCAATCTATAGCCTACTTCCGTAAAAATATATCTTACTTAATCATTTATCACTATTGAAATGGCATATTATTATATTCTGAATAAATGCTGTACTTTAACTTTATTATAGTATTTTTGAACTTCCAGTGATCTATTGCAAATTTTTTAAGAAGTATCTCTATGCTGTTAGAAAAAAGAAATAGAACATTATTCTGTTAGTCCCTGACCCTTGAACTCTGACCTCCGCATCTGGCACAAGTCATGTCAATATTTCATTTTGTGTCATGGTAGTTTCATTGAAAAGAATACGCCTATCATCCATCAAATAAGTTTGTGTCATGTCTGTCTCCTGGGTGGTAGCCTAGAAAGCTGTAGGTAAGATGTTGGATCGAAAATGCCTTCATTTAGGCTGGAGGGAAACATGTTTAATAATAAATTTCTCCGGTAAAAAAATTGATCTAGGGCATATATGTAATAAATTTCTTTTTCTCTTCTGGTTGTCACAGGAAGGGTAGGATCTTAGGCCTTGTCATTTTCCTATTGTCTTTTTTTTAAGTTTAATGATAAATATATATTTGTCAGTCTAAATCTACGCATTATAAAACCAATAAAAGTTGACTGTAAACTGGAATAGATCTAGTAGATCTAAATTCTAACCAAGAAGTTAAAATTATCACAATTTCCTTCCTAGTTAAAACTTGGACACTTTGTAGGGCCTAAAGTTTTTGGTTGAATTTGTTGAATATGAACCGGTATTAGAACTAAGTAAGTAGTAGGCAACCAATTGTGTATCTGTAAGCTTTAATATAAGTTAACAGATGTATCCTGTACAGAACAGTAAATAATGAGAGAGGCTTCAAAGTAAAGGAAAACATTTTTTTAAGGACCATTATGTGATAACCAAGTGTATAAAATATAAACTTTGTCATATTATACAAATGATAACAAATGATGAACCCATTGAATATGATGTAATAAATGTTTAGGTCCTTCTTTAAAAAACAAATTACATTTTGGTTTCTTAAAGTAGCAAAACCTACATCTTTCTAATTAGAAACAAACCTACATTAATACTTAACATCTCAGATGGTTCACTGTCAATTAGGAACAAATATTTTAAGCACAACTCAGTTACTTAAGGCACACATCTTTTAGGAATTTGTTTGGCACAGGTTCATTTAGGCACATAATTATTTAAGCACAGTGATTTAGGCACATCTTCAGTTGTTCTTAAAATAATTTTGCCGGAATGACTGTTTAGCATGCAAACATTAGTACCGCTATATTATACCTGATTATCAATTTATCACATTTCATTTTACGCTGCTTTATTCTAGATATTACTTTTTAAAGTTTCTAGAAAAAAATGTGTAGAAATATGGTATGATTTGGATTAACCAAATTCTTTGTCGGGAATTATAACTTTTGTGGTTTAAAAAAAAAGAATGATAGATAATGATGTATAATCATTTTGTGTTTAGTCAAATTGAAAAAAAAAAAGAAAACGATTTAAATTTTTGAAAAAAGTGCATACGTAGATAACCCTCCTTTAAGTCATTTTAGAGAATAGCTTTTCAAAAAAAATTACATCAGACTTCTCTTTCATTGTATCAATTTAACGCATGAATATACAACCTATATAAATACATTATTGTAATGTTATTGAATTTATATACCTGTACTTTATTCATTACTAACAGGTATGATTGAAATATTTGACTCATATTAAATCTTTAGAGGGTTGATTTATGTTTTTGTGCCTGATCATAGTTGATGGCATTGACATAGTATCTGTGATTCATTTGAGATAAGGTAGTTTGTCCTGTTTTGTTAAATATACAGTGTGATAGTGACTTAGGATCATATATATGGTACGTACATATTTTCTATCGATAAATTTGAACAAAAAATAATGAAAGAAAAACAATCAAATTGAATTGTATCTGGTACCAATTTCTTGTATATTTAATCTACTGCGATGCTTTTCGACTAGAAACTGTTTTATCAAGTACTCTTAGTGTAAGCTTACAAAGTAAGAGAGCTGAAGAGGGTATTATAAATGTGAGTTTGAAGGACCTGAAAATGTTTTTTCCATGTAGTGCACATTCTTTACAATAAACACTTTCAGTTGGTTTTTCACCAAGTTGGTTAGTTAAAAACTATGTTTTATAACGTAGACCTACTTAAACATGAATTTACCAGGAAACGACCAACGAAAACATAAAACCTCCAGGAAACAACCAAAGAAAATGTGAAACAACCAGGAACCAAGCAGGAAAACTAAAGCAAACCACCTCAAATTATTTTGCAATAAATTCGAAGCAAGCTAATTAGGTCAAGTAATTAATTTCAAAAACAACATGTCATGCATTTTGTAGAAGTGCACTTAATGACTTTCAAAATCATAAAGATAGAGGAATAAGGCTACTGTTCATAATCTATGCTACCAGTATCATGTCACTAAACTTTGATTATTTGTTGACAATGTTGACTAATTACAAACTTAATATATCATAATGTCTCTTTAAACTTCACTGACAACACTATAAAACAATATTGTTACACTGTATTAACAATATTATATATCAAACTGAATTAGGTGTGGGTTATGTGCGTTATATCACAGACAAAATGTACTAAACTGGGAAATATGTAAGAAGTCTTCCAATATTAAGTCTATAAAGTGCACTTTTCCCAAATGCACATTTCGGCCTGATTCACATGCTTAGAATTCATCGCAAAATAGTTTGAGGTTGTTTTCCGGCTTGGTTTCTGTTCGCTTCACGTTTTCGTAGGTGTTTTCTGGTTGTTTCCAGCTCGGTTCATGTACAGTACTATAATATTTATGATAAATTTTTGGTTGAAGGAGGTAAATACTATACTAATAATACTATGGTTTAGATATTGATAATTTAATCTCTATGTCTGTTCTTTGTTATCTCTATTTCAAATTACAAACCCTAGTTATTGAAAGTCACCACAGTCTCTAAACAATAGGCAACTCGGAAATTGTGACAAAGTCTTTGGTTTTAGCCTCGAGAGAGCCAAGACATTCTTTTGCGTTTTATAAGCTTTCATGATAAACGGAATATATTGCCACATCATATGCCTTTTTTTTTTACAATGAATTTAAGATGTGCTTCCATGCATTGAACACCCTGCAAAGCATTATTTTTGGAATACAGTTGATGTATTGATCACTATTTTAACTGTAAATATTATATTATTGTATGTCTCTGTTATTATAAGGTGATGTACAATATTATACTATTGTGTATAGGCTGTGATTATGATGATCAGTATTTATCACAATCTGAGACTAGAAGATAATGATAATAAAAAAGATAATTTGATAGATAATTAATCAATATTTTACAGACATGATGATAAGAAACTAAGTACGTGTCCAAACTTCATTTTACTCACATCAAATACTCTTGTAAGTATAAGGTTGATATTAATTCTTTGATCCAAATTTATGATTAAGATCTTTTTTTTTCAAAATACCGTCAATTTTATGCACATTTGATCACTCTTAGAGACTTCAAAAGCTGTTTGTCCAACTTAAGGGGTTTCACTGTTTGACAAAATTTCTGTTTGTTATGCATGGAACACCCTTTTGTTAATCTATTTTTAGCTTGCCCAGTAGTAAGACACATAAAAATATGTAATACAAAAAAGTCTGTTTCATTTTATATTTTTCATGTTTATTCCCTTTAAAATCATATATCAATTACCATGTATCACATAGATACTTGTTACTTTCTGTCTAATTTTTATGTCATTTTACATTTATGCAACATATGTTCTTATCTCAACAGTGAAATGTAGTTTGTGTTGCTTCCATCCCCTCAATGGATATAATGAGTGTATATTAATTATTGTAATATTTTATACATGTGTTGTATTTGAAGAGGTGTTATTTTAATATTAGTTTAATAGGCTTTTGACAAGAGTAAAAAACAGTGATGCTTTAATTCCTTCATTATATACAAACATTCAGTTATTTTTTAGTTTTTGTCAAATCTTTGCCTATGAACAGGCAGAATTTAATTTTGTTATTTCTAATATTAAGAATTTCCCTTTCAGATTTTGAAACAAAAGGAGAATTAATCTTTATGTTTTACATTTTTATTCAAGAAGAAAAAGAAATTGAAAATGGATGCCGACCCAAAGGATTATGAAGATATGAGCAACAATTTTGCATCTTCCAGTAGTAATGAAACTTCACCAGTAAAGAAAGGCAGTGTGACAACTGTAGCATCAACATATTTTTCTGAACAAATACCCATTCCTGATGCTGATAACGTAGGTCTTTCTATAATAAACCAAACAACACTTTCATTTTACTTCAATAACATAACTTTACTAGACTTATCTATACTAAATAGAGATGTAAGACTTCAGTAAATTTTCCGGAAAAATCTGTTCTTGTGTGTGTGTTATTAAAGATTAAAGATCATCTAATACGTATCTTGTATTTCAGTACAAGATGTTTAGTTTCCGTAAACTATGGGCGTTCACTGGACCAGGGTTTTTAATGAGTATAGCTTATTTAGATCCAGGTAATATAGAGTCAGATTTACAGTCAGGTTCAGTTGCTCAATTCAGGGTAAGTTAGAAATTTTGGTAGATTGTCAGATTAGAGGTTTGACTGTAATTTTGTCTGTACAGTAAGAAAAAAAGTATGTTATATATTTTTGCACCCTTTGTTGAAAGTTGAATGCAAGATTTAATGCAATGAAACATATTTTGCAATTGGTTGGAAAAAGAAAAAGAGTTTGAAATGAAATAGGTTGAAAAATCAATCTGACATTGTAATACTTGGAATAATAACAGAGGATATTGGATTATTGTGGTTTTTTCAGTTATTATGGGTATTAATGGGTGCAACAATATTGGGATTATTAATGCAGAGATTAGCAGCTCGACTAGGTGTAGTCACAGGAATGCATCTAGCAGAGGTGTGTTACCGTCAGTACCCCATAGTACCACGTCTTTTATTATGGCTAATGGTAGAGATTGCTATAATTGGTTCTGACATGCAGGAAGTTATTGGAACCGCCATTGCCATTTATCTTTTATCAGATGGAAAGTAAGTATTGAAACACAAAGGACTTGATGATTAATTGTGTTTTGAAATAATGTGTTCAATTTCCCTCTTACCTGATAGGAATCAAAAACAAGGTCTATGACTAAAATGTATAGTCATATGCGAAATTTTAGAATAACGACCACCTTACACAAATATCAAGGCGAGTAAACCTTGAAAAACTTCACAAAGTTCTTCCCTATGAAAGTTTCATGTAGAAAGATTGCAACATTGTATTGTTGAGTTTGACTCTTTATTTCTTCAGTGAACAGACTTTTTACTCCCCCAATATTTAAATTGTTTTAGACTAAAGTTAAGATTTTACTGAGAGATTTCTTCTTTTTTAATGACTCTTTAATTGACAGGCAAAAAAATTCACAAATCATGCAGTAAAAAAAAAAAAAATTTCTTAAGACTTGATTAAAGATGAGTCCTCATATAAAATAAGTGTATGAGATATGATAAAATAAAACCAGCCTGTGAAATTCTGTGAAGTCAAAGGACTAGCTTAGAAATTTGTCTTAGGAATTGCAGTTAAAGCATGTTTCCAACATTGTCTTTTGTAAGTCAGATAAAAATTTAGAAATATCATTTTAAAAATAATGACAATTAATCTGTGAAAAAAATACATGTATACAAAATCCTTTTTTTTCCTCTATAGACAGCTAATGACTTTGTTTACTCGTCAACATAAATAGCTAATGTTTGTTGACTTCAGTTTGTTTTATTTAAGAATTGTTTGCAATTGATAAATTTGTGTGACTAAAACATTTTTATTTTTTTGTATAATTTGTCATTGCAGTTTGTCATTTGTTTTGCAAATTGATTTTCATATTTTGGTATTTTTTAACTTCTGCAATTTAATTTCGATCAATCTGAAAATTTACAGGTAGATGGTCATTTGATTGCGAAGTAAAATCAATTTTCATATTGTCGATATCACTTACGGTTTTGACGTTATTCGCTTTTAAACAGAAAATTTCAACTTCCGGAATTTTGAAGATATTTGAAGCTAAAATTGCCCATGTAAAGATATGATATTTAAAAAATCCAACCCAGAAGTAACAGGTCAACCGCCATATTGATATGACTCACTTTTGAAAAACGAGAAATTGGGCCTGAGGGGTTAATCGGATGTGTGTGATGTTGATGTCTATGTTATCTTCAATGGATTGCAAACAATTCTCAGGAAGCCGATTTTGAATTTTGATTTTGCTTTTCTTATATTTCCGGTCATATTTATCCAGTGAATACAAAATGTTTTAAGGCCCATATTCGTGACCTTGACCTTTGGTGACCTTATGACCCGTCTTCAGTTTTGCTGTGCAATGTAAACTTCCGGTTTTACAGCCATTTGAAAATAGCGATTTTAAATTTTAAAGAGCTGTGTCACATGACCTAATTTACATATGACAAAATTTCTCATATATCTTTATTACGGGCTATCTCTTCTTTTCATTGATATATAACACTAGATATTTTGATCAAAATTGCGCTTTTTAAAATTTGAAAATTTTGAACTGACTTCTATAGTAACTGTGCGTAAAATCTCAAGCCTTTAACATGAAAGTATGAATATCTCATGATTAATAACTTTAGACGCTTGAAATTTTTAACATAGCTTAGCATTGTACACATTGTAACAAAAATTTTGGGATGGGCGTGGCACATCTGGGCTAGATTCACATTTCCTTATATATTTGTTATTTATTTACTCGCAAAGTATATAATTGTCATCTATAATATTTGGCAAGTTAATAGGTAACTAGTTTGGCCAATATGTGGTAAAGGTAAATCTGTCTGGACTTTTTACAGGTTTTATAATTTACTAGATTTTTATTTTTGACCTTTAACATGGATGACCTTGAACTTTTCAAGGTCAAAGGTAATTGATCTATAATGTCAATTTATACTTTGATCTTTGATGTCTGACACCTACTTCCGGTTTTATAGGCTTCCAAAAACAGTTATTTTTAAAACTTTTAAGGCTCATATCTAGTAACCTTGACCTTTGGTGACTAGTGGTCTGACGAAAAGCCATAGCCCTTGATGATTTCTATCACATGGTGCCTTTGATTTTGTTGTACGATATCTACATCTTTTTTTATAGCCATTTGAATATTGCGAATAGAACAATAACACAAGCCAAGTGCCAGGAATATTCTTAAATGTTTGGAACATGGATTCCTATATTTCAATAATTCTAAATATGGAAGAGACTGATCCAATCCACACAAAAAAAATAAATTTTTGTACTTTTTAATTTTAAGAAAAAATAATTAAAAAATGTATTAGAATTGTATCGTTGACCAGTGAAAGGTTTTTAAAAGAATCATAAGGGGTATATAACGTTGTGATACAAGTTGAACGTATTCGAAGGGAATGCTCGAGTAGTATGAATGAAACCAACCTAACACAATATACTTCGAGAATCGTAACTTATTGGCTCTAGTTTTTAGTTTGTTTTCCTTCACGGTGTAATATTGTTTATTTTGTTTTTATTTTGTTTTTATTTGTTTTTATATCGTTTTTATTTTGTTAATATTAAATTTTTAAATGTAGATTATTAATATTAATTACAGAGTGCCTTTATATGCAGGAGTAATCATCACCATAGCAGACACATTTACATTTTTACTCTTAGATAAATATGGTCTGAGAAAACTAGAAGGATTTTTTGCCTTTCTTATTTTAGTCATGGCTGTAACATTTGGATATGAGGTAATTATTTTCCTTTTGTAATGCTATGTTTGATAATGTTTTTGATATCTATCTACCAGTTTAATCTTTGTTGAAACCAAAGGCAGTTGTAGCTGAAGTTGCTTCAAACAGCTATAAATTTTGGAAACTGTTTATTATAGTTGATGCTTTTGATAGTAAGACAAACTGATTGAAACCCTTTTCTATTTCAGTATATAGTTGTAGCACCAAACCAAGCACAAGTTGTTAAAGGTTTATTTGTACCATATTGTGAAGGTTGTGGTTCTAAACAGTTGTTACAAGCTGTAGGAGTTATTGGTGCTATTATCATGCCTCACAATATCTATCTACATTCTGCTTTGGTCAAGGTAATATTCTTATCAAGCCTAAGAATAAAAATACATAATACAAGAGTTTTGTTGTCAATTTACGTAATGTTGAAATAAGCGATAAAAGAGCCCTTGTTCATAGACGAGGACAACTTACTAGTCATGAGAACAGAATATGACTTCATAAAAACATATGATGTAACATTTAACCATTCTTTTAACATTGCATGGTCATTATGTAAATGAGATAGTTACAGTTGTCTGAGACAATAAACTATTGTATTGTATTTTTCTTTCAGTCTCGTGAAGTGGATCGATCTAAAAGACCAGAAATTCGAGAAGCCAATAAATATTTTTTAATCGAGGCCATTATTGCCTTATTCATATCATTCCTTATCAATGTGTTTGTTGTGGCAGTTTTTGCTGAAGGATTTTTTAATCAAACAAACCATGATTTAGTAAGTATACCTGAATTATTATTCTTATGGTTAATTTAAATTCAACTGGAAAGGTGCCCCTACAAAATTTTTTAAATACTATCGCTTAACTGGCCGCATGGCATGAAATTATGGGCAACCTTTCATGACCATGATTGGAAATGATATTCTTATGCAAGACTGAATCCCACAAATTGTTTTTCTAGATACAAGTTTACTTCATTGGTGTTTTTTTTTTAGTTTGAAAAGTGTGAAGCTCAAGGGAATCCCCATGCATCAGTGTTCAATGTAAGTAGACTTCATGTTCTTTTTGAAACTAGTAGACAGAAATATGAATTTGATTTTAGTACCAGGTCTGTTTTGCTGGATTTTTATCTGGGGTCACTTTGACATGATATTTTTATTTCTAATTTGTTACCTTTTTTCTCTTTTTCTTATTTCAAGAATACAGATCAAGAAATTTCTGTTGATATTTACAAAGGGGTAAGTATTTGATATTTTGTGAAATTTAGAGACTTAAAGAATTATTGTCTATAACCTCACTTACTGAAACTTCAAAATTCATCTTAGTCTGTAGAAAATACTTTTTATTATTTATAATGCTCTTTAAAACTAATTATGAAAAAAAATATAGATATTTTGTGTAAATTCAATGTCCATTGAACATCTAATGTAGTTTCTGATGGAAATATTGCTATTTTTAGGGAGTATTTTTAGGCTGCAAGTTTGGTATAGCTGCCATGTATATTTGGGGTGTAGGAATATTAGCAGCAGGTCAAAGTTCAACTATGACTGGAACCTACACTGGACAGTTTGTAATGGAGGTAATGTTTAACCTATTAACCTAATTGTTATATATTTATTTGATTGCTTAGCATAAATTATGATTTTAAAGTCAAAAATCAACAGAATAAAAGTGGGAATTTCAGATGCATTTAAATAACATTGACCGTATAAATAATTTCCTTATCCATAGGAGATTTGGAAGTTTGGAGTTGATAAGTTATTTGTCTATTTCAGGGTTTTCTAAATTTAAAATGGAAACGATGGCAGAGAGTATTATTAACAAGAACTATAGCAATATTACCTACTGTTTTTATAGCTATATATGAAGGCATAGAAAATCTGACTGTGATGAATGACTTATTAAATGTTTTAATGTCTTTACAATTACCCTTCGCCTTATTACCAATTCTCACTTTTACTAGTGCTAAAGGTCTAATGGATGAGTTTGTCAATGGAAGGTGAGTAGAACTGTCTCATTGTCAGTAGCGAATTTCCTCTCAGAACTTTGAAGTGAAAATGAAACCCTCTAAATGCTCAAAATTCATCTGAGACTATCTGACATCTGTTCAGAGATGATCACCTCAGAGAGACAGTCTCATTTTTTGCCCCCTCCTCAGGCATTGTCTATTTACGTCCCTAATATACAAATATCTAGTTGTAGAGATCTTTCTTACCAGGAATCCTTTCCTAATTTTATTATAAAACATCTGAAAAAAATATTTTTAATGTGAAAAACTCTTCGAAATGTTTTTTTTTTGCCTAATATTAGAAAACGTCATTGAAATTTAGTGCACAGAAGTATGTTTATTTTACATGTAATCTTACAATAATTTATTCCATGAATTCAGTACTGTTATGATGTTCATTTTTAAAATCCCCAAAATTTGAATTGGTGATAAAATGTACGAAGAAGTAGTTATGTTGAATCTCAGACAGTTGTTTCCATCTTTAAGTTTATTTCTTATTTCAGAACAACAAAGATTTTAACTGCATTATTAGCTATAGTTGTGATAGCTATTAATTTATTTTTTGTGGTGGAATATTTAGAGAAACTACCTGATCATTGGGCAGCATATCTGGGTGTAGCTATAGTGGTAGCATGTTATTTATTATTTGTTTTGTACTTGGTAAGTTTATGTACCAGCTAAGGGCATTCCATTATTTACTTGGATCACTTAACCCTTTATACACTTAATAACCACTACTGGCCTCATTACTATGTAACACTATTAATCTGAGCAGCCTGTGTCACAAAGTATTTATATATCATAGTCTTGTTACATAATTTAAAATTCAGAGCCTATGAAGTTTTGTCATTTTCACTCTGTGTTCAATGGATTAATTTTAATTTAAAGGAGTTTTTTAAGTTATTTATTGATTTTGTTACTTGTGTTATATTTCAGGCTGTGTTTTGTCTGGCAGTAATGGGAGTTAGAAAATTATCTAACCTATCGGTAAATCTTATTCATGTATAATAATTATTACTCACTCACACTCTCATCTTGTCTTGTCGTATTGGTTTCAATAGAGAGCTGAAATCTCAACCAGGTTTTTGCAGTATAACAAATTGTTCATACTAAAAATATCTTGGTCAAATTGATTTTGTTGTCTCTGTTGTCAGGGAAGGTATGTGTCAGCTCTGTAATTTGTACATGTTATGTTATTTTAGATTTGTGGAAGAAAATTAATGGAAGATTATTCATTAAAACATAATGCAGGTGGACATAAAAGTGAAGCAGATTTTCAAGAATTACAGACGGCAACTTATGGTCAGACATCTTTTAGTGACACTGATTGAGATTGAATTTACATCAATATTTTTTGTCTAATTAAATCTTCATGCAGCCTTAAAATCACCCTATTTAATCTGTGCATTTATTACTTTAGGTAATTGTATATCATCATGTGCATAAATTCCAGCAAAAACATTTCTGCACAAACATAGATATGGAGATATGAACAGTCGTGTTCATTTCCTTCAAGTTGTAATGAGCATACTAAATGCTCTGCGTATTATGGTTTCCATTACTATTTAATAAATATCAAAATAAAATAGATTACTCATGTTTATGTTATGTAATCTGAAAGCAGACAGGTTGATATTTGATAGAAAATTCCTATGCACTTAAGAAGTGATGGAATTAATGTACATTTAAGTCTGTGTGAATAGATGGCAGTATGCTTAATTTCATTTGCTACATTCTGTAATCATTTCATTTTATAAAATCAAAATTATAAAAAGGCGGCTACTGAACCTTAAAATGAAATTTTTTGGTATCAATAGAAATTAGATTAAATTGCTTAAATTGTTATTTGTATATAATCTTGTATATGTTATTATAATACATGTTATTTTGTATAATATTGTTATTTGGATATGGTTTGAAATTAAAACAATTATTTATTCAAGAAATATTTTGAAAGGAATCTGATCATCTTGGATGAATTATAAGCTTTTGATCTAGTTGAATAAAAGTTTTCTTAGCTGGCCTTGCATACTTAACAGCATAGTCAGAGCTTTTAGGACTAACTTGATATAAGCCAGATATCACACTTAATCACAACGACCTGCAAATCGTTTTTATCTCCCCTAGGCATTTTTACCTCAATATAAAGTTGTTATCCCACTTGAACTTTCTTTTTATCAACTGACGAGGCTTGATTTTAGTTTCCATAACGATCTACTTGTAGTAATATAAAACCACTGTGATCTCCTTTGAACTTTCTTATTATCAACTGATGAAACTTGATTTTAGTTTCCAGAACGATCTACTTGTAGTAATATAAAACCGTTGTTATCTCCCTCGAACTTTATTATTATCAACTGATGAAATTTGATTTAGTCTCCAGAACGATCTACTTGTAGTGATATAAAACCGTTGTTATCTCCCTTGAACTTTCCTATTATCAACTGACGAAACTTGATTTAGTTTCCAGAACGATCTACTTGTAGTAATATAAAACCGTTGTTATCTCCCTTGAAATTTCTTATTATCAACTGACGAAACTTGATTTAGTTTCCAGAACGATTTACTTGTAGTAATATAAAACCGTTGTTGTCTACCTTAAACTTTCTTATTATCAACTGATGAAACGTGATTTAGTTTCCATAACGACCTATTTGTAGTAATATAAAATCTTTGTTATCTTGTCTGAATATAAAACCGTTGTTATCTCCCTTGAACTTTCTTATTATCAACTGATGAAACTTGATTTAGTTTCCAGAACGATCTACTTGTAGTAATATAAAACCGTTGTTATCTCCCTTGAACTTTATTATTATCAACTGACGAAACTTGACTTAGTTTCCAGAACGATCTGCTTGTAGTAATATAAAACCGTTGTTTTCTCCCTTGAAATTTCTTATTATCAACTGTTGAAACTTGATTTAGTTTCCAGAACGATTTACTTGTAGTAATATAAAACCGTTGTTGTCTACCTTAAAGTTTCTTATTATCAACTGATGAAACTTGATTTAGTTTCCATAACGACCTATTTGTAGTAATATAAAATCTTTGTTATCTTGTCTAAATATAAAACCGTTGTTATCTCCCTTGAAATTTCTTATTATCAACTGATGAAACTTGATCTAGTTTCCATAACGATCTACTTGTAGTTATATAAAATCGTTGTTATCTCCCTTGAACTTTCTTATTATCAACTGATAAAACTTGATTTTAGTTCAATAACGATCTACTTGTAGCGATAAAAAAAAACCGTTATCTCCCTTGAACTTTCTGGTTGATACATAGGCTTCACCTACATCTTTCAAATAATGGCACGCACAAGACTTGATAATCTAATGCCTTCATTCTCACCCGTAATATAATTTGATTGCAGACTAACTGGAATTTCATTCTTGAAAGTGATATAGGTAGTTATAATTTAGAAATATTGGCTGGTAAAGCATATAAGAAGACAACACTTCTTTTAATTAATAATAACGATAGCGAATAAGATTTAAAATTTATTAGTAATAATAACAACCAAATTCATACGTCAAATATATTATACACAACTCCTGTGTATGACTCAAATTCCAATCCTAGCTAAATCTTTGAACGTGAGGACGGGTGAAAAACGAAATCCCATCGCCATGAAACAGGTCCTCACCATCTGTAAGCCTATCTTGTTAATGCGGGACACCCAAGCTACTCGTCCATGTCTACACAAAGAATTACCTGTGGCCCCTGGAAAAATTTGTTGCTGCTGCTTGGCAGCCTACCTTAGGCTATCCTGGAAACGCCACTAGGTAAGGAAAGTTTCATGTCAGCGTTTACATCTCATTTTTAGATTATTGTTCTTTGAAAAAATGTCACCCTCAAAATTATAAAAACTCGACTAAATGCATATAGAAAATTCGTACATCACTGCCTAGGTGATGAGATTGCTCTGTGTATCTCAGTCTTTGCAGGGTCTATGATATCTACAAAAGCCTTATAAGTATTTACAAATACAACTACAATCCATAATAAAACCTTCTATACAAAATTAATATTAAATGAACTACATAATTACATTCATACAAAATATGACATACACAAATATTTTACCAAAAAAACATATATCTTAGAGCATGGCTATATCCCGTCTAAAACTACTAGCAAATACCACATGAAGTGTTGTAGTAGTGCGAATGAGATAGTATTGTATATGTTTGGTAAGAGGTGAATCGCTACCTGAGCTTTCGCAATACAAGTTTGATATTATAAGACAATTCAGTTTGAGTTCATATAAGACCTACATGTTTTATTCAACAAATTGAGCAAAATTTCAGAAATCTCCTTTCAGATAACAATCATTTATATGTGTAAAATAAAATATATATAGGTATTCAAACCATTAGCCAAGTCTGTAGAAGAAACTATTAAGTAAAACTTCATTTCATTTGAAATTCATTATAACGTCACTCTTGACACTCTTGTAAATATCCACATCAAAAATTAACGTTTCATTGAATATTTGATCAACCAATGATTTTCTCGTGGCTAGAACTATCTTCTGACGGGCATCTGAGATGGATGACGATGATCCTTAAACATGCAACTTTCTGGACGAATCTGAAATGATAAAAGAACAGGGCGTTGTTAAATAGACTATATATGAAGTTTCAAATCATAACTATCCATGATATTGAACATCCATATTTTCACAACAATTGAAACGGTGCCTCCTTCTCGAATAATGAAGATCAAATGGAAAAACGGGATTCACAGTTTGTTTCAACAATTTCAACGATTTTATGCCATGAAAAAAATTTAGATTACAAATCTTTTGACTGACAAAACCAAACAAAATATCAGCCCTCTTCTGTCATATATAAGATCTCATCAACAATAGACCTACATGTTCTAACTATTGCGGTTTCTGAGTGCATTTTTGAAACAAAATGACAGCTGTGCAAACAACAGTCAGTTTCATGGATGAAAGAAACTCGCACATAAATCTCACAACAAAAATATGAATCGTGATATATCGAGTCAGAAAAATAGAAATGTGCTAACAAAAATGAAACTTTTGTATCTGCTGATGATAAGTTATCTGGATTATTCGAAAACTAAATTAGATGTGTATGTAAGGGATTTAAAAAGCGTTGCTAATATGATAAAATCAGTTTGTTTTGTAAGATATAAAGCGTTTCTAGTATGATATAAAGCGTTTCTAGTATGATATAAAGCGTTTCTGTATGATATAAAGCGTTTCTAGTATGATATAAAGCGTTTCTAGTATGATATAAAGCGTTTCTGTATGATATAAAGCGTTTCTGTATGATATAAAGCATTTCTAGTATGATATAAAGCGTTTCTGTATGATATAAAGCATTTCTGTATGATATAAAGCATTTCTAGTATGATATAAAGCGTTTCTAGTATGATATAAGGCGTTTCTGTATGATATAAAGCGTTTCTGTATGATATAAAGCCTTTCTAGTATGATATAAAGCGTTTCTGTATGATATAAAGCGTTTCTGTATGATATAAAGCGTTTCTGTATGATATAAAGCATTTCTAGTATGATATAAAGCGTTTCTGTATGATATAAAGCGTTTCTGTATGATATAAAGCCTTTCTAGTATGATATAAAGCCTTTCTAGTATGATAATGATATAAAGCGTTTCTAGTATGATATAAAGTGTTTCTAGTATGATAATGATATAAAGCATTTCTAGTATGATATAAAGCGTTTCTAGTATGATATAAAGCGTTTCTAGTATGATATATATCGTTTCTGTATGATATAAAGCCTTTCTAGTATGATATAAATCGTTTCTGTATGATATAAAGCGTTTCTGTATGATATAAAGCATTTCTAGTATGATATAAAGCGTTTCTAGTATGATATAAAGCGTTTCTAGTATGATATAAAGCGTTTCTAGTATGATAATGATATAAAGCATTTCTAGTATGATATAAAGCGTTTCTAGTATGATATAAAGCGTTTCTAGTATGATATAAAGCCTTTCTAGTATGATATAAAGCCTTTCTAGTATGATATAAAGCCTTTCTAGTATGATATAAAGCCTTTCTAGTATGATAATGATATAAAGCATTTCTAGTATGATATAAAGCCTTTCTAGTATGATATAAGGCGTTTCTAGTATGATATAAAGCGTTTCTAGTATGATATAAAGCGTTTCTGTATGATATAAAGCGTTTCTAGTATGATATAAAGCGTTTCTAGTATGATAATGATATAAAGCATTTCTAGTATGATATAAAGCGTTTCTAGTATGATATAAAGCGTTTCTAGTATGATAATGATATAAAGCATTTCTAGTATGATATAAAGCGTTTCTAGTATGATATAAAGCGTTTCTAGTATGATATAAAGCGTTTCTGTATGATATAAAGCGTTTCTAGTATGATATAAAGCGTTTCTAGTATGATATAAAGCGTTTCTAGTATGATATAAAGCGTTTCTAGTATGATATAAAGCGTTTCTAGTATGATATAAAGCGTTTCTAGTATGATATAAAGCGTTTCTAGTATGATATAAGGCCTTTCTAGTATGATATAAAGCGTTTCTAGTATGATATAAGGCCTTTCTAGTATGATATAAAGCGTTTCTAGTATGATATAAAGCGTTTCTGTATGATATAAAGCGTTTCTAGTATGATATAAGGCGTTTCTAGTATGATATAAAGCGTTTCTAGTATGATATAAGGCGTTTCTGTATGGTATAAAGCGTTTCTGTATGATATAAAGCCTTTCTAGTATGATATAAGGCGTTTCTAGTATGATATAAAGCGTTTCTAGTATGATATAAAGCGTTTCTAGTATGATATAAAGCGTTTCTGTATGATATAAAGCCTTTCTAGTATGATATAAAGCCTTTCTAGTATGATATAAAGCCTTTCTAGTATGATATAAGGCGTTTCTAGTATGATAAAAAGCCTTTCTAGTATGATATAAAGCGTTTCTGTATGATATAAAGCCTTTCTAGTATGATATAAGGCATTTCTAGTATGATATAAAGCGTTTCTGTATGATATAAAGCGTTTCTAGTATGATATAAAGCGTTTCTAGTATGATATAATGTGTCTTAAGGCTTCATTAGTACGTTGTAAGGTGTGTGAAGAAATAGCTATATGCTAATAATATGTTAATGGTATGTTACGTATATTCATTAGTGTTTTAAGGCGTTGCTATAAAATTGTAAGGTGTTAAATATTATGTTATAAGGCGTCTACGGTGTGTTATAAGGTGTTAAATATTATGTTATAAGGTGTGTACGGTGTGTTATAAGGTGTTAAATTTTATGTTATAAGGTGTATACGGTGCGTTATAAGGTGTTAAATATTATGTTATAAGGTGTCTACGGTGTGTTATAAGGTGTTAAATTTTATGTTATAAGGTGTATACGGTGCGTTATAAGGTGTTAAATATTATGTTATAAGGTGTATACGGTGCGTTATAAGGTGTTCCGGAATGTTATAAGGTCCTAATAAAATATTATAAGGTGAAGATGGTAGTTATTATTATAAGATGTCGAAAGTAAGTTATAAGATGTCGAAAGTTAGTTAATATTATAATATGCCGATAGAACATCATGTCGAAAAAAGTATGTAACAAGGCTTTCGGGAATCTCTGCTTCTCGTACCAAACATTTACCAGACCTACTCACAATAAGACATACACAAGTGAGAAAAGAATTTGTTTCATTTGCATTTCTGCCAGCTATTCGTTCTGGAAGACGACATTTCCATATGAAAAACTCATTACAATTTGTGAACGGTCCATGAGGTCGTATAGAACCCCACACGTGTTGTTAAAATTGGCCCCTTGCAATCTCACACCTCGTCTGTGGAAGCAGATTATCTGATAATGATTTTCACAGATAAACTGATATTTTTGAAAATCATTGAGTTCAATTGTCGAACTAAGAAGTATAATATGATTCGAGCTGTGATTAGTAAACATCCTAATTTAAGGAACATGTTTCAAAAGGAATACCTAAGACTCTTAGTCAGAAAGCAAAGTGGATATAAGTTTGCAAGGTTACAAAATGTCAGGTCTGCAATTGTCATTAGCTGAAATTTGATTTCTATTTATGAAACAAAAGAAACGCTTGATACCTCTTGAGATTTTCAGCAATGTACCAAGGGCAATTTCAAATTCGAAATTTTTAAAACCAAGCACTTATATATTATAACATAGAAAACACATTAAAACGAAAACACAACTGATATAAAACTGATAGTATATAGATCAAATTATTTCCTCCCTGTGAACGAACACAATAAATACGGACAAATCGCAAAACAAAAGACTTAGTTTAGTACAAACGAGGATCAAAGAAATACCATCGAGGACAACCACAATACAAACTAGGATTCAAAAAAAAAAAAAAAATACCATCGAGATCAAGCACAGTACAAATGAGAATGAGCACAATACTGTTGAAGACATGAACAGAACAAACAAGAATGAAAACAATCAATCGAGGATAAGAATACATTCGTGGATGAACACATGCCATCGAGGACAAACACAATACAAACGAGGATGGAACAGAGTTCCATCGAGAACAGGCCAATACACCGAGAATGAACACAATACTCCTGAAGATATGAACAGAACATCCACAGTTCAACGAAAAAATATCGACAAAATGAATACAAAACAAATACAAAGGACTAATAGCAGACGACAATGATATTACATAAATAATAAAATTGTACTAGAGAAAGTTTCATTTTGAATTCACACACTTTAAAAAATCAAAATGCACTAAAATCCCCATGTTTTTCAGTTTGAATTTGAAACTACATTTTTGTTTTCTCTCGTCTGTTTTTACCACAAAACTATTAGTTACAGTAAATATCAGAATGATAGATAGGTTTGTTGGGAAACTGATAACTTAGAATTTTTCATTTCGCATTTTTTGTCTGACCGCATTGAACCAAGTGAAATATTTATAACCCACAATCATGAAGCCAGTTGATAGCCCTGTCTTAGAACCAAAAGAAGATTGCTCTACTTTGGGGATCACTTTTTCGTCATTGCTTTCAAGAAAACGGATCCTACATTAGAATGTCATTAAAACGACACTGTGGCTGAAAACTAAGTTTTATCAGAATCACTCGCTACTGACACTCATGAAAAAATGATATTAGAAGAGCTAAACTTTAAATAAAATTAACTCAAACAAAGCCTTCCAATCTTAAAAAAAAAATAAACAATTCTAAAAAAGCATTTCTCGTGGTTCTTTATGGATTCACTTCATCAAAGACAGGTCATTTTCCAGTCATTAACTTTTAATAATGACCTTGAGGTTTGTTGAAGGTCATCAATCATTTTGGCCATTTAGACAATAAAGTATGTCCATGGTTATTAAGGGAGCATTAAGGGTCTGAATTATGGGAATCCTTATTAATGAGGTAGAACGTATTTGTCATGTTATTACCAGTCAGTGTATTATAAATAGGTTCCTGATAATGAGATGCTGCTTAGTTTGCGATATCAGCATCCGCTGGAAGCGAACGTTAACTTGTCATCTACCTACCTGAGATGCTGCCAACATTTGAATTTGTCAGAAAGTTGGAATTTCGAATGTTTTAATTGCAAACCGACAAACATATTCTAACCTTTAACAGCGAAAACTTGGGTTCTAGCTTCCAGTTTACCAGATTGTACATTTAGCAATATGAAAATTAACACCTATATGTTAAGGAGCTTGTAAACTCTTGGATACACATCGTGCTGTTTGTTACTGATCTGTCTTTTCCACATGACACGTTGTCCTAGCGCAGAAATGACAATAAAGACTTTGTCTCATTCCCTTATTCATTAAACTATGTCTTATTCATTAAACTATGTCTTATTCATTAAACTATGTCTTATTAATTAAACTATGTCTTATTAAGTAAACTATGTCTTATTCATTAGACTATGTCTTATTCATTAAACTATGTCTTATTAATTAAACTATGTCTTATTCATTAGACTATGTCTTATTCATTTAACTATGTCTTATTAATTAAACTATGTCTTATTAATTAAACTATGTCTTATTCATTAGACTATGTCTTATTCATTAAACTATGTTTTAATAATTAAACTATGTCTTATTAATTAAACTATGTCTTATTAATTAAACTATGTCTTATTCATTAGACTATGTCTTATTCATTAAACTATGTCTTATTCATTAAACTATGTCTTATTCATTAGACTATGTCTTATTCATTAGACTATGTCTTATTCATTTAACTATGCCTTCTCGAGTATGTCTCATGTCCTTTTTGATCAGTTTAAAATTGCATTTGTTTCTATCAAAGTAGCGTGCTGTAGTTTATGAGCTTATTTTCCCACCATGACAAACCAAACACCAGCCACCTACTGGCCCGTCGTCAAGCACCACATGTTGCTCATCTATGTGTTATTACACAATCTTGACCATACCTACTTCCTATATACCATTTATCTCCACCGACTACTTTAATAAAATTACATTTCAAAACAGATTAACTTTCTATTCCCTTTAATTCCATTCCGAATTATGTACGTGATGACTTTCAGATTGTGTATTTACATGATTGTATTAAAACATCCGAAATGAAATAACTAGTATCATTTGATGTTGATCTAAGACGGATATATAATCGTAGGCTAATTAATGATTACCTACATATTTGTGAAAGCTATGTCTGTGAGGCTTTCACATGGATTCACAAGGGAGTGATGACATATCAGAAATACGTTCTCGTCTCGTTCCTTTCATTGGGGTTTACTAATTAGTTTCAAACAAGAGGGTACCAACTCGTCTTACAGATAAAAAGGAATTATGATGTTACTGGAATGCTTTAGCTTGAACTCTCAGTAACTTTGGCCTTGAGTACATTATAAAGAATAACACTTTCAGTAAGTCAGACTACGTATAGTTTTAAATTTAAGAGAAAGAATTTGACGGTGGTATTAAACTGTATTTGTGCTGCAAAGATTTGTTTTTGAAAAAACTTATTCAAAACTTACATTTAAGAAACTTAATAATTTCAACTTTAACGGCCAAGATTCTCAAATAAACAAAGTGTGATACTTTCAAATCCAAACTTCCACCTATCTTGTATCTTTGAATTTTGAAATGCAGCGGTTTGATTGGATAGTATGCTATATTATACAGCTGATCAGAGCCAACAACAGAGAGTCTGTAAGTTGTAGGCATAATGTTTACAGGCTTTATGTCGAGGGCTCTGATTGGCTGTGTCCTTTAGCGTATAATCCAATCAAATCACTGCATTCCGTTATACTAGAAAGGTGGTTATTGTAGTCAAGGTATAAGACGCAATTCATTATATCTTGATATGCCCTGATAACTGAAGCTACTGAAACTGTTCAATGATTATACTTATTTAATTCAATTTTATAAATCTTTAATGTACGTTTTCTTTTCAAATATTTTTAATGGCCAGTCTATAAGTTACCCAATTTAAATCAGAAGATCTCTCTCCGCGCACTCACTGTAATAAAAAAAACGAAGCTCTCTAGAAACGAAGATAAAAATCATAGAAAATATACGCAGACGATCTGGTAAATAAATTATGTTTCTAAATTTGTTTTTATGAATTTTAGCTGAGATATATTTCACCAAGACTCAATTTATCACCAGAAAATGGCTGTTGTTGGAAATCTACAAAATACTATCTAACTTTTGTGTTTATATCAAAGCCAAAAAAAATGGAAGTTAAAGCCAATCGTCAAACTGGTTTTTAGGCATGTAAGCGACACAATAGTGCTTTTCAAATGCGGTGGTGAATTCGCATTCGCAATCAGTATATGTCTGTTGATAAAAAATGTCTAATTATTATATTATTATATCAAAATTTTATATCATTTAACAAAGTTTGTAATGTAAAACATTTTGTTGTAAGTAATTTTAAATGATTTTCATAAATTTTATTGTAAATTTTTCTCATTAAAGTTCGTTATCATTGTTGGCATTATTGCATGAGGAATTGATTTTAAAATTATAATATTTTTAGCTCACATATTTGTTGTTATTGTACTACATATTATTGTAAATTATTGTTATGTGATAATGTTAATTGTAAATGCTTGTAATTTTTTTAAATATTATTATTGCTTTTTGTGTTTTTATTTCATAGAATTTGTGATAATTTTTATTGTAAATGATTGTAATATATCTCATTTTAAATGATTGTTATAAAGTTCATTGAAAATTATTGTCATAAATTTCGTTATCATATTTTGCAGTATTTCACAGGAAATGATTTAAAATTATAATATTTCAAATTTGAATAGATATCAATATTTGTAAAGTGATGAATTGTATTGTAAATTGTTAATGATTCTCATAAATTTCATTGTAATAATTGTGATAAATTTTATTAATAATGTTCGCATTAATTGGTTGTAAAGTCGTATTTACTTATAGCCTAAATATGGTTGAGAAAATAGGATAATTCTTATGTTTTAGTGCTGATACAACTAAACATGGTCAAAATGAGAATTAAGAAATTAAACGACCCTTTTCTGAAAATGTTTTTTAATTCAGAAGAAACCGATTAGTAAATTCGAATCGATTCATCAAGGTTTACAGAAGTCTCATTTGTTCAGTGTAAATACTGTTTAAAGTTACAGAATTACGACTTCCCATCATCACAATACATCATCAAACAAAATACAGCCTAATAACTGGACTCCTTGCTGTGAACGTCTGACGGGCGGGTTGAAAGATACCTATGGTTGCAAAAGGAAATGGCTCAGATCTGAGCTCCCTACAGTGCAATGTGTTAATATAATAAAACCCATTTATTTCATATAAACTATCAGAATAAAGTATATAAGTTATCTTTCTCGATAAAATTGATTGGAATATGTTAAGTGACAGAGACGTGGTCTTCTACATTGAGAACGTTAGTTAGATATATGAATATCTTGTCTTCCTTTTAAGACATGAAGCACAGGGATATCCTGCCTATTATTGAGATTTGCAAGTCCTGAAATAAAAGTTTTCATGTGCTTCAGATATGTTAAAGAGGGAAAAATTTAATCTAAAGAATTACACTGTATTGGCAAGTTTCTCTTATTGAAAACAGTTTTACCAAAATATTTAATACAAATTATTATAGTATAACAGTTCCATAGAAGCCCAAAAATAACGTTTCCGATCAATTCAAACTGAATGATCAATCAAATGTGAAAAAAACCTTTCAAACAAACTTGAAAATAATTTATAATTATATAGAATAACGCTTCCGTTCAAACAAAACCTTAACCTTAAACTTAAACATATTTTTTTTTATATTTTGAAACGTCACCCATCGATTGGAACAGAAAATTGAATTGGCCAGTCAAGTATAATAATATTAAAACGTTGTTATAACGTTGGGAGAAATCTGGAAAATCTAGTCAAAAGAATACTGAATGTCGGTACCGACTACAAACACAGAAATATTAAAACCCACAGTGTTATAGTCTCATATACATATCAAAATTTTTAATAAAATTATTGATAAATCTAATCCGAAAGAAGGAAAAATAACGTTATCATCCAATCAAATATTTAATCAATAGTATATACGCAAATAAAATCCAAAAAAACAGAAGTGAATCCAAACATAAAAGTTAAAAATAATAAAAGAACGACGTTATATTAATTCAATTATATTTCTCAAGTTCTGACATAGCTATACTGTTTATTGTAATCAATGAAATTATAAACGAGTTCCTGCTATAATAAAATTCCATTAATATATTTGTTACATTAGATCCTATCAGAAAAAATGATTAGATGTCGGAGTGTATCTTCATACCTTAACACTGATCAACTATTTTGAAGTGTTCTATTTCGCATACGCATTATGTAACATTCCTTACCACCTAGCACAGGCACAATGTATTTCGTTTATTTTTTTTTGGGGGGGGGGGGGGGGGTGGAGATTGATCTGTCCTGTTATTTTTCCTTTCCATCGTATGAATTGTTCATATCTTTATAATATTCAAATACTCATTTCAAAACTGAATCAATTTTTTTAATTTTACGGCCGAAATTTTCCACGATGCAACTTACTGAAAAACCAAGATTAGAGTTACTTGACGTCTCAAGAAAAAAATGAAGAGTTACTTTACTGTCAAAAGTTGAAACAAAAGTAATATTTTTAAAGACAGACGAATTGTCGAATGATCCCTCATTTTGTCAGAATGGAATTACAGTTAATCTTATCATCAAAGTAAAATTCCGTCTCAATTTTCTGGTTATGTCAAGGAAACGTTTATAGTGATGTATGAGAGAAAAGTTTTAAATGTTAACAACATGTGTAATAACAAATTTTATCAATTGAGCAAATTTTCAAATTAACATTTCTTTTGTAAAATTGTTCATTTCATATTTTTACGTTTTAAATTGTCATTGTTATCCATAGTTTTCTATTTTTCATTAAAGAAAGAAAGGGAAATACAGAATAATTCTATACATTGGACTCAATAGAATAGAATAGAATAGAATAGAATAGAATAGAATAGAATAGAATAGAATAGAATAGCGTAACTTACCGTCCTATGTCTTGAGGCACTAAGGCAAAATGTACAAACTGGTTTAGGCATGGCGTCGACACCTAGTGATCCCCTCATCATAGCTTGATGTTTGATACATGGCTGATCTACATATTCTGATCCGACCATTAATAATGTATTTAAATGAGCTATGTAACTTGCCGATAGTCTTAACACTTCGATTTTAGATAATTTTCGATCTGCTGGTTCCGTCGGAATCATAGTCCGTAAGGTCACAAATGCTGAATTCACAGAATGAGTTCTGTCTCTTTCTCTGGCATTCGCAGACATCCTTGGAGGTTTAGTATCCGATAACACTGAAGACGATCTTTTACTGCCGATCTTGGTTCCTGTACTCTGGTCTTCACCCGAGGACTGACTTTCTGCACCGTCTGAGCACAAATCTGATTCGTTTTCTAATTTTCGACGTTTACTGTTGGGTTCTGGACAAAAATTCTTGTCATCCCCCATTGCGGGTCAACCAATCACAAAATGTCGATTTCGAGTATCAATGAAAAAATTCTTATGATTCTCCAGAAGAAAAAGAATTTTTCTTTAAAACTGGAATATATGTATAAAAAGAATGCGGCTAAAGTATCTTCCTGCAGCGTATGCCTCGAAATATTTTGACGTTACATTGTCATAATGTATAGGGTATCCTTTAAACCTCCACGAGTGAAAAAAGTGTCGAACTAAGATGGAAGATAGTGTGATCTCTCACCAACTACCGAGTTATCACTTTCAACGAATATCAAATCAAAGATACATTTTTACCAATATACCACCTTTCGGGGCGCCTGGAACTCGTCTGGAGGTCAAAGGTTAAAAAGGCGTGGTTTATGGTTCACCCATCAATACTATTGCACGACTCTTTACAAATGGGTGGAGCTACAAGTGATCCACGGTGCCATAGGAGGAACCGAAACAGATGAATATTAATATAACAACATTGAACAACACAATTTTTAAAGTATGATAGTCAAGAAATTTAAGATACCAAAACTTGCCGAAAAAGATACTGACATACAATGAAAACAACAAAGCTATTTTTCAGATTATATATAATTTTGGGACCTAGAAGATTCTATTTTAAGCGATTTCTACAAAATGTTTGCAATATAGTGCTAAATAATGACTAAGTTAAATATCTAAACGCCCACATCTGTCAATGCATATTCTCGGCAATCATCTCCTCCGTCCTCCCTTGAATACCCATGGTATATGGTATGTGTAATCATTAACATTACTTGAAGATAGAATTTTAACAGTTCTGAATATGTGTCGCAAGTTTTAACCCGCAAGGATGCCCCCGTTTTCTCTTATAGAAAAATACAATAGCTCCTTTAGTTAACAACCGATTTTCTTAAAACTTGTTAGTATATACAAATTTAAGAAGAATTTGAATGCTGAGTTAACTGAATGTCGAAGTGGGTGTATTTAGACCTGATCCCCTATCTTTTCTCCTGATTTTAGTTATTCTGTTTTAGCATATTCTATCATTTCCTGTTTGGGCAAAATATTTCTGTAGGACTGTTTTATGTTATTAGTTAGAGAAAGTATCAAAATATATCAATTTTTTTTAAGCCCACCAACAATTCATCAATTCGTGCGGTTTTTGAAATCATTCTATTTCTAATGATATTCTTTGAATTTCAGTTTCACTTAACTGTTTATGTGGTTATTGAGCCAATTTTAAAATGATTGTAGACATTGCGAATGGTACAATCTGAGAGCATTTTGATTTTCAAGGGAAGTAAGCTGTAAGCAGAAGTCAGCATCTGAGAGAATCTGGTAAATTGATAGAGCTAGAGAAAAGTGTCATCAGTTGTTCAATAGTCGGAATCCAGGGTTGTGTGTCCACGTGAGCGAATAATCCGAAGCCTTTTTAAACCATTATAGGCAACAAAACGGACTGCGACTTACGGCCACTAAAAATGTACTTTGTCGCCGGCAAATGTGAAGAAAACACGAGAAAAGTCCATAAGAATTACAAATTCTGCTACTGTCGCTATCAATCTGCGACGTATTTGACTATATTGCGTTTTCAATGCGCCTAATAAAATCTATGAACTTTGTACGCTTCATTTTTATAGCGTTTATGTTACGAGACCTGTTAAAGACAATCTCGTGGCGATCTCAACGGTGAATATTGGCGACAATATACCACCCTACGGTATATGTCGCTTCTTTCGCGCTAAAAGTGATACTACGTCTTAGAATGGACATAAAATTTAATTCTCAAGAATGGTCAATATGAGTATATATTCATCACTGAACTTACCTGGTGTCATAAAGTTACAACAGAATTCCTGTGAAATCTGGAAAATTGGAAAATTCATAAAACTAAGTAATTATTGAAAATCATAATATTAAGCGTTTTTCAATAAATAATTGCATTTATATTAAGTTAAGATTTATTGGATTATATAAGGATCCTGTTATGTTATTTATAACACCAGGTATATCTACTGATGAATATATGCTCTTATTGGCCAGGTTGAATTTTTTAAATTTTATGTTTATTCTAAGACGTAGTATCCCTTTAACCACGCTTATGGCGAACTTTTCACGCTCTGGGCTAATTTTTTGTCGTCGTAGCAGCTCAGTACGGACGCCTTTCCAGTGTGACGGGACTAAAGCTGAAGTACGTAGGAATTAGCTAGTTAAAATAAATAATAATTTTTAGTGTGATTTATTCAGGAAATAACACCTGGCCTCTAATTATTTGTTTACGCCTGTCTTTTTCTTTATACTTCAATATGATGAGTGAAAGGAAGTTTGTCGTTCTCAAGAATAAAGATTCATCATTATACAAAATAAAGAAAAAAAATTGTTCAATGTTGTCCACTATTCTCCTAAAGGGATACCCAACACACATTGTCATTGATGTGCAAGTTTTAACAATATATTTTTTTTGTTATAAAGTTATGAATATATCTTGAAATACTGCAACCAATTTGGTGGCGTTGAAATACTCTTCATCCTTGAGGTTTTTTTCCCCAAAAACTGACAATTTTCTTGTATGTTGTGAGGTCAGCTCCACACTATCATTTTTCCAACAAAATAAAGCCCTAATTGTTGTCAAAGCGTGGAGCTATTTTAAAGACGGTCACCATCTTATATTAGAATTATTGTCATTAAAAATTTCAGCCAATCAAAAGACATGAATTTCATTGGTTCAACAAATTTTATAAAGATGGCGACGTAGTTTGAGTAAAAATTCCCGCCTGGTGGACATTTATTTAATTAGAACACAAGTACATAATGTCAAGTTTTTGAAGGTACAAAAATTTTACTGTTTACAAAGGTCTAAACAAGTAATACAAAATTGCATGATATTTATCTACCTGGTGGTCTGTCTCTAAAATACGTACTCGTAGTATTATTTAGAGTCAACTTGTCGGTTTAATACATGTACAACAAAGATATTATTGGTGTTCTTTGGACAATACAAACATCAGATGGTGGTGGCTGTATCTTTGTATCCTTAATTTTGGAACTAAGTTCTATAACAGTAGGTTAGACAGAAAAAGTGTGTTATGTGTTTGGTGTAAATCATAGTGCATTAAATGAACATATTTCAAACACATGACTAAGAAATGAAAAACTGTCAAATTTCAACACGTGGTGATCAAATAGTCGTCAGGTTGGACTATTTTGGCGCGCTGACGACTTTCAAAGAGAAATAATTCAAAATGGCTGACTATTAACACCTCATAGATTTCTAAAGCTATCGTCTGTTCCATAAAGTTGTAACATGAGATGCTGTTGAAAATATGAGAATTATTTATTCCGAAAATAAAACATGGTCATAAATCAGTTATTTGTTTTTCAATTTATAATACACGTTTCATTTTCTTGTTTGTCGTTAGTAGAGAAAAATCCAACCATTTTTCCTCTTAATTTGGTCGAAAGTCAGATAGGCTAGGAATATGTATCCATTCTTTTAGGAGAAAAACATATTCCTGATAAGAAACATATTCCTAGGAAGATTTTCAGAGCAAAATGTAAAAAGGCATGTCCCATTTTATTCAAAAATGTCAAAAAATCGAATGAAATGTTGAATGAAAAGATGAAAGTGTAGATCATAGGCGAAAATGACAAATTGGAAGTAGATCTAATATACATCGAATCCTTATAAGCAAAATATCAAGTTTATTTCAACAATAAATCCTGGGGCTTACCATGCCAACATTTTGTTTGCCAAGTTGTTTTATTTCGAATCGACCTCTAAACAAATTCTGTTAATGTATGCAATAAAGCTCAACTAATTTGGATGTTATGAAAACTCAGAGGGAAGTCAAACCTGGTATTGCCATCAACATAACGCAGGTGTGCTTCTATGTTGTTTAAATGGCCACAATGGCGAAGAAAATGGCCGTTTATCTGGTTCCGGATGGTTGCTAATAAATTTTGAGATTGGAGAAATATGTAATTAAAATATGGTTAAAATTGATAATATTTAAAATTTGGAAATCTAAAATGGCGAATTCTGTAAATTGATACAAGATCATTGACGTCTGACATCCAGGCGGTTTCTGTTAGTGGTGATGAAGAGGTAAAATGTAACTGGACCGCAGAGGCTAAACATCAGCGTCTCATTTGTAAATAAATAGTACCTGTCATTTCTACAAGAGGTAGTGATGACTTTACCAGATGACACAGATTTCTACGTCATCATACCACATGCAAACCAATAGCTAGTGATGAGAATTATTCATTAGCAATGGATTTTTTGTTTTGACAATTAACTTACATGCACATGAATCTATCTTCACTATCATGGTCAAGTTATTACGAACTTCGTATACATACCCTTTATTTCCTTCGCAATAGCCTCCAACCCAAAAGCCTCATTATTTGTTAAAATCAAATCCACTATATTGTGTGACAATATTGAACAATCTAGTATTTTTACGCGGCATTGATTAATACGAAACACTAAGCTTGCTTTGTTTACACTCATGACAATTTCAAATCACTATCACAAGAAAAAAACAGTACACGATTAAAAATGCATAGGCCTACAATCAATTGAGCGTTTGCATAAGTGCTTTTGACAGTGCTTCCGTCACATCGGAACGGCGTCCTCAGAGCATGCGTAGTATAAGCGTAGAATTCTGTATGGTTAGCGTCATTGTCGACAATATTCGCCGTTGAGATTGCACGGAATCGAGAGCCTCTAAGACAAGTGTCATAACCTGTCCATAAACGCATAAAATGAAGTAAATAAAGCCAATAGATTGTATTAGAAACGCGCATAAGGAACGCAATATAATCGCATATGTCGCAGGTTGATAGCGACTGATTTAAAGTTTTACGGGACTTCTAGCGTTTTCTTCACGTTTGTCGGCGACCAAGCCGGTGTAACGGGCTTATTCTCGAGGCCCTTGCTCGAATGCGCCAATTAATTTATAGTAGTGACCAGAAAATCTGCCTCTCATCAGCAGCTGTCCCTGTAATCGGTCTTA